GCACTCTCGCAGCGGCGGCGGACGGTTTACGGCGCAAACTGACAAAGATGGACAAACTAAGAGAAAACTAAAAGCAATATGAAAAAACGATTCGATTGATTGATTGTAGATTGGTTTTTTACAATGAACCGGCCATGTCCATTATATAGGGGTTGGTCTTGCCCTCTACAGGCTCTCCTCCAAGTCCAACTCCGGGTAGAAACCAAAGGAAACCCGAAACATGCCTTCCCGAGCAAGGAAACCTCAAGACCCGACGAAACACAGTCGGACTCGGACCTGCCGGTCAGACCGGCCACACACCGCCGGTCTGACCGGCCCTCAACTGGCAGTCTGACCGGCCAACACACGGCGGTCAGACCGGCCCACTCGGAGGAAACCGGTAGATTTCCAAATTTTGGCAATCTTTCCTATTTTAATCCTAGGTGCCAAATTTGGGTGTAAACACATGCCCCCTGCCTTTTTTATGAACAACGTGAATCTAAAAGCATAGAACATGTTTTGGTCTAAGGACGATAATCCAATTACCGGCCATAGTACCTCCTAAGCGTCTTGCCAAACGCTCGGGAAGTATTTCTTCAAGTATTTCCCGTTGATTGCTCGCTAAAAACGCTCCCCTTGAAGTGTCTCTAAAAAATATGCGTTCCCTCGAACAATGCCGCATACTCGATAAGGACCCTCCCAACTAAGAGACCACATACCGAACTCCTTGGATCGAGTACCCAAAGGCAAAATTGTCTTCCAAACTAAGTCTCCAACTAGAAACAACTTTGCTTTCACCCTTTTGTTGTACGCCTTAGCCACCCTCTTCTTCTCTTTCTCTATTTCTTCCAATGCCTTCAAGCGCTTGTCGATGACTTCATCAAGATTGTCTTCCATCAACGTCTTGTAATCTTCACTTGACAAACCATCTTGCTTGATATAACGAAGAGAATCAAGATTTACTTCCACCGGTAAAACGGCTTCTTGACCATAAACCAACTCAAAAGGAGCGACTTTAGTGGCATCATGTTTAGAAATCCTATGCGCCCACAATGCTTCGGAAAGCACCTCATGCCACCTCTTTGGGTGTTCCTCAATCTTCTTCTTCACTGATTTCAACAATGTCTTATTACTCGATTCGACTTGTCCATTAGCTTGAGCGTAATAAGGAGAAGAACTCAACAATTTAATACCATAAGATTCGGTAAAACTCTTCACTTCCTTAGACATAAAAGAAGCACCTTGATCCGTAGTTAATGTTTGTGTAATACCGAATCTATGGATAATATGCTTCAAAATAAAGTCAATTACCTCCGTATGAGTCATATTCTTCAAAGGCATGGCTTCGGCCCACTTGGTGAAGTAATCCGTAGCAACTAGCACGAACATATGCCCCTTTGATGACGAAGGATAAATTTGACCAATGAAATCCAAAGCCCATCCTCGGAACGGCCATGGTTTGATTATGGGATTCAACAAGGCGGCGGGCGCCAATTGAACATTGCCGAACCGTTGACAAGCCTCGCATCCTCTATAATATTTGAAGCAATCATCAATCATCTTCGGCCAATAGAACCCTACTCTCCTAAGCAACCAATTCATCTTGTGGGCCGATTGATGAGTTCCACAAATTCCTTCATGTACCTCTCCCATAGCCACTTTAGATTGATCTTCATCTAAGCACTTCAACAAGACACCATCTATATTTCGGCGATACAAATCTCCATCAAGCAATGTATATTTGAATGCTTGCCGCCGAATTTTCCGATCAACCTTAAGTGTAGGATCTTTCAAATATCGAATCAAAGGAATTCTCCAATCCTCTTCTGTTCCCTTGGCACAAATGTCCGAATTCACACTTAATTCGGCCTCTAAATTGATTGAAGCGTGCCCCCCAGCGCTCTGCCCAGAACCGGTCAGACTGGCCACGCAGGGCCGGTCAGACCGCTCGGGGTCGCCGGTCAGACCGGCGGCATGCGGCCGGTCAGACCGCCCCTGCTCACCGGTCAGACCGGCCGTGCAATGCCGGTCAGACCGCCCCTGGTCTCCAGTTTTGCCAATTTCGCACAAAGATTTAAAATCAAGCACCGGCTCTTCTAATATCAGAAATAATCCCTTCTTCACATTATAGCCAGATGCTTGTTGTGACAAGTCATTTGCTCTAGAATTATCATGCCTAGCAATATGTCTAATAGCAAAATTATCAAAATTGGCAATAATATCTAAACATGAATCGAGGTACCTATTTAGTGATCCGTCCAAGCATTTGTAGACTCCAGCGACTTGTTGCACCACCAATTCCGAATCACCAAAAGCCTCCACGTATTTAGCTCCAACCATCTCCATAACTTGTAAGCCGAATAATATAGCATTGTATTCAGCTTGATTATTTGTACAATAATACTCCAAATGAACCGATGCTTCATCACACATGCCATTAGGTGAAAACAAAACTACCCCTATGCCCTGACCTTCTTTGCAAGAAGAACGATCAAAATAAATCTTCCAAGGTATAACTTTAACTAAGCAAACCTCTCCCTCATAGCAATATCTATATGATGGTCTACTATAAAATCACATACAATTTGGCATTTCATAGATTTCAATGGTTCATAAGGCAAATCATATTCTATCAAAGCATATGCCCACTTGCCAATTCTCCCACTTAGAATTGGCCTTTGCAACATGTGTTTAATAACATCGGCTTGACAAGTAACTATGCATGTACTAGATAACAAATAATGCCTCAATTTGCTACAAGCATAGTATAAACATAGACAAAGTCTCTCTATAAAAACATACCTCGTTTCGGCATCCAAAAGAGGGCGGCTCAAATATGTAATGATATATTCCTTGCCATCTTCCTCTTGCGCCAAAACGGCACCAATAACTTTGTCTTCGGAGGCAATATATAACCGAAAAGGCTTTCCGGCTTTAGGTGCTCGCACAACGGGTGGAGTAGACAAATATCTCTTCAACTCTTCAAACGCCTCTTGTTGTTTTGCCCCCCAAGTAAAATCGGCTTCTTTTTTCAAACAAAGTATAGGAACAAAAGCATCGATTTTACCCGCTAGGTTAGAAATAAACCTCCTCAAATAATTCATGTTACCTAGCAACTTTTTAACCTCCTTCTTACATGTCGGCGCTTTGAAATCACGAATCTTTTCTATCTTCTTAGGATCAATCTCAACTCCTCTCTCATGCACCATGAATCCTAAGAACTTCCCCGCCGACACACCAAAAGCACATTTAAGTGGGTTCATCTTCAAACCATACCGGCGCATCCTCTCAAAAGCTAACCTCATATCGGCTATGTGTCATTCCATACCATCCGATTTGACAACAATATCATCAATGTAGACCTCTAAGATAATACCTAGCAAATCATGAAAGATTAAATTCATCGCCCTTTGATATGTTGCACCGGCGTTCTTCAACCCAAAAGTCATGACCACCCACTCAAATAAACCAACAAATCCCGGGCACCAAAAAGCCGTCTTGTACATATCCTCTTCCGCCATAAAGATTTGACTGTAGCCAGCATTACCATCCAAAAAGCTAATCACCTTATGACCCGAGGCATCATTAATCATCATGTCGGCTATAGGCATAGGATATTCATCTTTGGGATTAACTTTATTTAGATCTCTAAAATCTATGCAAACTCTAATCTTACCACTCCCCTTCTTCTCCACCGGGACTATGCTAGAGACCCACTCTGCATAACGACACGGCCTAATAAACCCCGCCTTCAACAACCGATCAATCTCCTCTTTGACTCGGTCATATAGCAAAGGATTAAAACGACGAGGTGGTTGCTTATAAGGCCTAAAACCCGGTTTAATTGGAAGCCGATGCTCAACGAGCTCACGGCTAAGACCCGGCATCTCGTGGTACTCCCATGCAAAACCATCAACATACTCTTTAAGTAGCTCGATTATCTTAACCTTATAATCGGCTCTCATGTTTTTGTTTACGAAAGTCGGCCTTGGTTTAGTTTCATCACCTATATCTACTTCTTCCAAAGGATCGGCCAATGTAAACCCTTTTCCAAGCTTCTCCACTTCATCAAAATCTTCAACAGTTTCTCCAATATCGTTCTTTGTAGACCGATATTCTTGCACCCTCTTTTGTAACCACTCTAAATTAGCCTCTTTACTCATTATACAAATTTATATGGCTTAGCCGTGCTACACTAGCCGGCTTTACAGAGATAGGTACAAATTTGCCATCGGAGATACTAATAAAATCATAGCTAGAAAGATCCCTCCCCGATAAGTATTGGATATTCCCATGACACCACTCAAAAGTAGCATCGGCCATTGCAACCTCGGCTGATGTATCCGCTTGAACAATTTCAACATCATCTCCGTCCCATTGAATTAAACATTGATGCAAGGTAGAAGGCACGGAACAATTGGCATGGATCCAACAACGACACAAAATAACATTGTAGTTACCTTGCACATCGACGATGAAGAAAGCGGTTGGTAGCGTCTTGTTTCCCACGGTGAGCTCCGCCGAAAAGATACCCTTCGCCTCCGTTGGTTCACCATTGAAGCCATTGAGAATCATGTTGGTCTTCTTCAACTCATCATCCTCACGCCCCAACTTCTTGAATAATGAGTACGGCATCAAGTTCATGGCGGCACCTCCATCCACTAGCATCCTAGAGACCGGCTTCCCATCAACATGGCCTTTGAGATAGAGACACTACAAGATATGTGTGGCTTTTTGACGTATTTAATAAGACACATGCCATAATGTCACTATATCATATAATTTATGATATTTTATTTCAGGCATTTCAACTTAATGACAATAAAAAGTTGTGTGTCACAATAAATGTCATATAGCTAGTCTAATGTCATCCAGTGACAATATTTAGTATGTCATAAGACCTATTTGTGTGTCACAAATTATTCGGCGACGATGAAGAGATGTTGTGTCCATGCCGTCAGTGTTTGAATCGGGTTCCCCAATTTAAAGGACGGGTGCATGATCACTTGCATATTCATGGGATGGCTACTGCTTACACTAGATGGATACATCATGGAGAACCATTGGAGGTTGTACCACATGAAATTGATGACCATGTTGATGAGGATACTAGTCTCAATGAGGATTTTGACATGAATGTGGATGAGGAAGATGACACTGATGATGGAATTCATGGTATGGTAGAGGAGTTGTACACAGCTGAAGAAGAAGGTCAAGGGAAAAAGTCTATGTTTGCAATTCTATTGGAAGAGATGAAACAAGAACTGTACCCTGGTGGTCCTTGCACAAGGTTTTCTTTTGTGGTGAAGTTACTTCATATCAAGTCATTTTACCGAATTTCTAATGTTGCATTCACAGTGTTGCTGAAGTTGTTGTCATCATCATTCCCAAATTGCTCTATTCCTGCATCAAACGAGGAAGCAAAGCGACTTATCTGTGCATTGGGGCTTGGATATAATTCAATCCATGTGTGCCCAAATAATTGTGTTCTATTTAGGAAGAATTTAGAAAAAAATGATGTTTGTCCGGTTTGTGGTGCATCAAGATGGAAAGACAATGGTGGAAGGAAGAAGATTCCTGAGAAGGTTTTGCGACATTTTCCATTGATTCCTAGGCTGAAGAGAATTTTTTCTTCCAAAAGAACGGCAGAGGAGGTGCAATGGCATAAGTTGAAGAGGAAGCCAGTGGAGAATGAGCTCAGGCATCCAGCTGATGGCGAGTCATGGAAAAACTTTGACAGAAAGTATGGGTGGTTTGCAGAAGATGCAAGGAACATCAGACTTGGCCTTGCTATTGATGGTTTCAATCCATTTGGTAAAATGAGCTCCTCGTATAGCATGTGGCCAGTGTTTCTTATCCCGTACAATTTTCCTCCATGGGAATGTGTAGAGCAATCAAACTTTATCATGGGCCTGCTTATCCCTGGTCGAGAATGCCCAGGAAAGGACATTGATGTTTTCTTGGAGCCACTTATTGAGGAGCTGCTAGAGCTTTGGAAAGGTGTCCCTACTGTTGATGCACTTACTAAGAAGAAGTTTGATCTACATGCTGCTATAATATGGTGCATTCATGATTATCCTGGTTTGAGCACATTGTCAGGTAGAGTCACAAGAGGTTATTATGCATGTGTGCATTGTGATAAAAACCCTTGCTCCAAAAGGATAAGGAATATGATATGTTACATTGGCCATCGGCGTTTCCTTGCTAGGGACCATCCATGGAGGAGAAGCAAGGTGTTTGATGGTAATGTTGAAAACCGTGAGAAGCCAGAGAAATTTACCACGGATGAGCTGATGGAGCAACTGGAGAGGGTCAAGGATGTTAGACCAGGAAAGCATCCTGAAAGCAAAAAAAGAAAGTGGGACGAAGAGGGCCAATGTTGGAAGCGAAGGTCATGTTTGTGGGATTTGCCGTATTGGTCGAGTTTGAAGCTGCGGCATAATCTTGATGTGATGCACATTGAGAAAAATATATGTGAGTACATCCTTGGTACATTTCTAGGCATGGCTGGGAAGTCAAAGTACAGTACAAATTCTAGGCTTGATTTGGAAGATATGGGTATTAGGAAGCATTTACACTTGATCCGTGATGGAGATTCATATAGTTCTCCTCATGCCCCTTACACAATGACTAAAACACAGAAGGCTGATTTTTATGATTTTTTGAAGAGTGTAACATTTCCAGATGGATATGCTTCCAACTTAGCAACATGTGTTACTGCAGATGGATGCAACCTCCAAGGATTGAAAACTCATGATTGTCATATTCTTCTTCAAAGGATTATACCTGCTGCTGTACGAGGAATCATGCCCAAGGACATAAACGAAGCACTTGCTGAATTAGGTAATTTTTTTCAGCAACTATGTGCAAAAACTTTGAACTTAGATGTGCTGGAAAGATTGAAAGCTAACATCCCAATCATTCTGTGCAAGCTTGAGAAAATATTTCCTCCTTCTTTCTTTGATGTGATGCTACACCTGGCTGTCCATTTACCTGAAGAGGCAATTTTTAGAGGTCCAGTACAATATGGATGGATGTACCCAATAGAAAGAAGGTTATTAACATTGAAACGGTTTGTGAGGAACATGGCAAGGCCTGAAGGGTCCATTGCAGAAGCATATGTTGCTGCTGAGTGTTTGACTATTTGCTCGAAGTACTTTGGTGATGATGTTGAGACACGACACAATCGGGAGGGCAGAAATAGAGAGCGTGTTGCTATTGTGAAAAAAGACCTATCTGTTTTCCAGCATGGAGTTGATCTTCTTGGAGCACCAAGTCTTACATATCTTGAACATGATTGTGAAAAAATGGTTTGGTTCGTGCTAAACAATTGTCTGGAGGTTGAGCCATATATTGAGTATGTCATCGCATCTACTATTTTCATTGTTTCTTGGATCTTACTTATTAGCCCTAATGTTTGAATTAACTATCATTTTTAGGATATATAAGAAAGAGTTGGAGAATGAAGGATGTCCTAATGTTCAAAAAACCCTTGAGAAGCAATTTTCTCGCTGGTTTAAGAAGCACGTGAGTTTGATCTCTATTACTTTATTTCATCATTTTCTTCCTGGTTTAAGAAGCAAACTTTTTATGTCAATTATTTTTTTGTGCAGATTACAAAACTTCGTTACGTGGATAGACAAGACATAAATGATGAGCTATTTGCGCTGTCATGTGAGCCTGATCTGCGAGTTCGAATTTAATCAGCTTGACTTGTCAACGGTGTTCGATTCCACACTGTAGACCGTGAGAAAAATAGAAGAACACAAAATAGCGGAATTATGGTTGAGGGTACACATGATAACCAGGAAATTGACTTCTATGGTTCCTTGAAAGAAATAATTGAGCTTAGATACAATGCAGATTCAAGTGGCGATAGGACGGTGGTTCTATTTCGATGTGATTGGTTTGACACTCATGGAAAGAAGTTCCGAATGAAGGAAGATGGGTTCTTCAAAAGCATAAACCATGGCAGCTTGTGGTACAAAGATGATCCATTTATTCTAGCAACACAAGCAACAAAGGTATTTTATTTGTTAGACACCAAGTATCATGAGAAATGGCGAGTTGTTCAAAAATTTTCACATAGACACTTGTGGAGTGTGGCTGAAAATGACAATGAGGATATACCCAATGCTGTGGTATTGTCCTACCAAGACGATGATTGTGAAGGTGTGCATGTTCAACTTACTGAAGGATGTCTAGAAAATGACCAGCCAGTTAGTGAAGGTGGTTTTCGTGTTGATGCTAGTGTAGTTGATGACCTCCGTATACAAAGAGAAGCGGAAGGGCAACAAGATGAGTCGGGCGACAGTGAAGATGAAACTGGATGGCAATATGTGAGTGATAATGAAGGTCCAACATTCCCTCTAGAAGATGACGATGATAGCAATTATGAGTAGATTTAGTTGTGGTTTCAATTTAGTTGTCGATGAATGATGACTTGGACTATGTGGATTATTTTGTTTAAATAGCCTGTACTGCAATTGATGCTGATGTTGTGTGATGCTGCTGTGTTGCTGGTACTACTGTTTTGCTGCTGTGTTGCTGCAGCTGCAGCTGCTGTGTTGCTCCTGCTGCTGTGTTGCCGTGCTGCTGTGCTGCAGCTGCTGTGTTGCTGATGCTGTTTTGCTGCTGAAATTGCTGGTTTGCTGCGAATGCTGCTGAAATTGCTGCTGGTACTGCTGAGATGCTGTTGAAATTGTTGCTGCTACTGAAAACTTGCAGATACAGCTATTTTGCTGCAGCTGCTGCTGTTTTGTGGCTGTTGCTATTTTGCTGCTACAGATGCAGCTGATGCTGTATGATGCTCTAATAATATAGAACTAATTAAAAAGTATATATGAATCTCAAATTATTACAATCCCAATAATAAGAGTTTTCTGAAATTTAATAAAAATAACATTGTTGACTAACAAATAATATAGGTATCCACCCACTAATATTGGTCTCCATGACGTTGCCACAAATGTTCGATGAGATCCTCTTGCAACCGGTTGCGAATTGTCTTGTCATTAATTTTTGGATGAGGAAATCAGCCACCTGAGTAGTTTTTCTCTCTTCTTAATCTTCAACATCTTCGATCACGCCGGCCACAACTTCATTGCCGCCGTGGAGCTCGCCCACTCCATGTGCCATGGACAAGCTCGACCATGCCTTCACCGTTGAGGGGATCACCTGAGGTACGTGGGGCCGACAGGATCTAGTGACGGCGGCCTCCCTCGATGCCAGATCTGGTGATGGCGGCCTCCATAGGTGCACGGGAGGGGGCTCCTAGTGCTCCTAGAGGGACGAGAGGGAGGTCGGCCTGACGCTAGATCAATCTGAGCTGTTCATTTTGATCAGCAGCTCTTTTTCCCTTCCCCACCACGAACTGCCTCTCCCCCTCCGCCGCTCCGTCTCCGTCCTCCCTGTTCCCTCACCGGCGGTGCCTCTCCCCCTCCGCCCCTCCCTCTCCCTCGCCATGAGGTTGCAGGAGGACTCGACGGTGGTGGGCGGCGGCAAGCGGCGGATGACGTACTTAAAACCCAACTCAAATACGGATCTGGATTTCCAAAAGCAAACGAACATAAAAACTGGGCACATACACGGATGACGTACCAAAGTACCAGCAAAAACATCTTCAATTTTTATAATAGTAGAGATAGAGATTTTCCCATCGGAGAAGGATTGAAGCGGGATCGATCGCACGCGCGTTGGATGATTTTTTTTGGTGACGGACGAAAATTCTCACCCGGAAGCCTTACATATTTTTTTAAGTAGGTATAGATGTGTAACAATGAATAGGAAAAAACGGGGCGTGCGCCATATTTCTATTATCCTTGTAACCTTACATATTTTAATCCACCAAGAATGTTCTGTACAACTTGAAAATAAAAATATGTACTGCATTGTGACCTTGCAGATAGAATTATTTTAGAGACCTTGGTTCAATATAGTGCTGCATAATCTAGAGTTGACACTTGTTTATGCTGCTTGTTGCTCGCTGTTGCTGCACACTCCCAGGGTATCATTTGAATGCTATTTAATGATATGTTCATGCTCTTGTCCAGAGTCAATTCACAATCAACACAGATGCTGATCCAGTGATAGCTGCATTTTCTGATTTGCTCAAAAATGGACAGCGGCAGATGAGATACAGGCTAAAGAAGAAATATTTCAATGGTATACCAGCAAATGAAGTTAGAACAACTTCACCGCTAAGCTCTATGACTGACAATGAGTGGAAACAACTCGTGGACATGTGGTCTACCCCAAAGCATAAGGTATATCTTTCCTTAATATCTATCATAAATGTTGCCTTACAAAATATGAATTGTCTGTCCAGTAATGTTTGTCTTTCTATAGGAAAAATGTATAAAAAACAAAGATAGCCGTGAGTTAGTTCAATACCACCAGATGACAGGATCTCGGAGCTATGTTGCACAATGCTATGTCATGGTAAGATAAACCGTTGCATCTCTACAAACTTTTGTGATTTTTAGTTGATATAGGAGCTTGTATATGTCCAGAATGTCCACTAGCAGCTTGTATGTGTCTTGAGTGGGTTGAATATTCAGAACTATTGTCTAATTTACAGAATTGTGCTTTGGTGGCGTCTCGGCTAAAATCACCCATATTCAGGATATGGGTGATTTTATCCCAGCCAACAAGGTCCTGCATGTGGGTGATTTTAGACAATATTTCAGAAAAGTAGACAACAGTTTGGTGTTCTATGTTTTCCTTGTTTTGGTCATAAGTGGCTGCTATTGTTCAGCTTGGCGACAATAGTGCAGCCAGCTTTTGTCGCCTGCAGCTGTTGCCCTCCATAAATGATGTGTTCATTGTCAATAATGGTTTGCTCGTTCATCTCTAGACTAAGGGCATTAAATTGGATTTTTGAGCTGCTACTATTCATTTAACTTTTCACGTGCTTTTAGTTAACTTCTTTAAAAAAAATATGCTTTTAGTTATTTATTTTTCTATTTGTATGTAATTTCAAAAGCAAACCAAATTTAAGGATGTGCCACCAACTGCGATTGATATTTTCAAGGACACCCACTGCAGTAGCAAGTCAGGTTTTAATGAGAACGCAAAGGATGCCATTGTGAGTACCTTTCCCTATCTGGTTACTATGAACAACACAATAGATTACTACATATCTCCATATGGACATCAGATAATACCTATATATATTCTGGACACTATCATAGAAGGTTTTATTCCAATCATTTCATTTCTTCCACTAGGTTGCATTTCTATATGGACATCATTACACATATATTGTTCTGGGTACACATACATAACTAGCATAGAAAATCTGATTTTTTTTTTGGTTTTATTGTTGCTAGGCTCAAATGGAGGCCTATGTTGCTCAACCAACAGAAGAAGGCAAAGATCCAAAGACTCCTGTTGAAGCTGTAGCTCATGTTCTGCCAAAATCAACTTTTCTTCGCAATGTTGGCATGCAGTCCACAGAGATGAAGAAAAATGCCAAAGCTGCTGCAATGAATGATCATGTACGTGAGCTAGAGAGTGAATTGCATGCTGAGAAGATGGGATCAGCCAGAATGCAATTGCAGATAGCTGATCTACATAAGCAATTAGAGGACCAGAAAGAGGTAGCAAGGAAGAATGAAGAAGAAACTGAGAAGCTGAGGCATCAAGGAAGTGAAATCCAAAGCTTCCTTCGCTCCTTGTTTGGCAGCAAGTTTGCATCATCAGATGCTCAGCAGTAAGCTCTCATACTCAATTAGGTTCTAGATGATATTTTGGTAACACTGAACTTGCAACCATTGTGATTGTGGGATGTTATTTTGGTGCTGTTGTGCTTCTGGCCGTTGTGCTGTTGCTGCTGTGCTTTTGGCCATTGTGCTGCTGCTGCTGCTGTGAAGCTATTGCAAATATGCTGTTGTTGCTCTCAATGTAGCAGGAAGATGAAATTTGATACTTTGGATATGTATTGAATTAGTGGATAGATGTACTGATATTGAATTTTAAGACTTGTGGAATGTGAAATGCATGTGACATTGCAATCATTTGTGGAATGTTAATTCATTTGAATCTGATTTTGTATGTGCTGAAATATTGTATCTGGGCTGAATTGTATGGGCTAAAAAAAATTAGTTGAGTTATGTGGGCTAAAAAAATTATATGGGCTGGAAAAATATATGGGCTAAATTGTAGGGGCTGGAAAAATCATATGGGCTGAATTGTGCGGGCTAGAAAAATCATATGGGCCGAATTGGTGTGGGCTGAAAATTTGTACAGGCTGCACTCATTAAAAAGAAGCAAATAATATGCTGGGCCAACTAGAAACAACCCCAGAAAAAAAAATATTTGTGGCCCATGAGCTACATGGGCTTTAGCAGGCCGAATCTTATTTTGTGACGTTTTTTTTCAACCATGTCAACTGCCAAGTCAGCTGCCACGTGGCAAGCCCTAGGATTTTGTGACAATAAAGCAATGTCATATGCTTGTGACAATAGATGTACAAACGTCACATACTAAATTTATAACGGTGGCTTTTTGACGTTTGAAATTACGTCAACCGTTTGTCACAAATTGTAATTTTTGACATAAATTTCACATATTATGACATAATAAAATGTCAAAAAGCCACACACCTCTTGTAGTGAGAGGCTTCATGTGACGGTTTGACTCATCGGGCTTCTCAAAAACCGCGTCTTTATGACCTAATGAGAATTGAGCAACCTCGGCTTCATCCATAGCACAAAACTCCATAGGCAACATACATACCATGTTGATATCCATGTCTTCTTCTGGAGATGATTCACCTTTATCAACCGATTGCTCCTCCTTCTCCTCTACAACAACCGGCTTTTCCTTCTCTATGGATTTATGCCTCCATACCGTGGTGGTCGTAACTCATTAAACCTTTTATCTCTTTGTTCTTCGGCTTTTTTCTCTCTTATCTCTTGAGCCCGAAGACGTTGCAACCTTCTCTTTTGAGTAGCCGTCAAATCCTTAGGCATCCACCTAGGATTCGGCTCTGTTCCAGGAGGTAAATAATGTCCTCTATTGATTTTGCTTAGAGACGATGAAGCCCTCACATCACCCTTTGCAATCCTCCTATCAAACCGGCGCTGGAGCCCGGTCAGACCGGACGTAGACCACCGGTCAGACCGGCCAGATGCGCCTGTCAGACCGACATTTGGTGCGGGTCAGACCGGCCTGAAGCGTCGGTCAGACCGGTGTCGGTTGGGCGGTCGGACCGGCCTGATGGCCCGGTCAGACCAACCACATGGCTGCGGTCAGACCGGCCAGAGGACCCGGTCAGACCGGCCGACTGCGATGAGCTGGTATCGGCTTCGGATTTTTTGTTTGGGGACACTCCAACTCCATCTCCAGAAGGTATTGGCACATCATGAGACCCCACTTTGATAGTAATCACCTCCGAAGTCCTCACCTCCACCTTGACGCGCTTTCCTTCCCTTTTTTCTTCATTAGCCCGATTCTTACCATAAAACCGGCTATTGTTTGGTGAAGACAAACGCTCATGAATTGGCCTCCTCGGTCCTCCCCACCCTTGATTGAATTGCATTGGAGGCATATGATTGAACATTGGTGGCGTCGCCCCCCATGGCATGAAGTAAGGATAAGGATAACCCAGCGGTGGCATTGGATAAGAACCCCATGACATGTCTTGTGGATGATGATATGAAGGGGAATGTGACCGTCTTGGTGAATGACCAAATCGCTCCCTAGGAGGTGATCTTGGTCTTTTCCCTTTGTTGCGAGCCCTCTCACCACCTTGCTTAGCTCCACTCTTATTCTCCTTCCAAACGTCAACCTCCGGCTTCTTTGGCACTATCATCTTAGGCCTTGGTTCGCCAATGACCACTCCTTTTTCCTTAGCAGATTTGGCTTGCTCCGGCCGAATCAACTCCTTATCATTGAAATTAATTGTGTTCACCGGAAAAGGATCATGATCAAGCTTCATCTTGGAGCCATCGGTGAACTTCAATCGTCCTTCATCTATGGCCGATTGAACCTGTCGTCGAAACACATTGCAATCATTAGTAGAATGAGAATGAGAATCATGCCATTTACAATATGCTCGACGTTTCAACTCTTCTTGAGATGGTATGACATGGCCTTTAGGTAATCTAATTTGTTTTTCTTGTAAAAGATAATCAAAAATCTTATCGCACTTGGCCACATCAAAACTATATTTAACCTCACTTTGCCAATCTTTGCGAGGAGTCGGCATTAGGTTGGAGCAAACAAAAGGCTTGTTTTTGTTAGTCCATGACCATTCAGCAACATATATATCATGATCACCCTCCTCCTCACTATCGCTAGCCTCAGGGTAATCAATCACATTAACATTAGGCTTTTTGTCATATGTTCTAACAAGTTTTTTATTATCCTTGACCCGGCTTTCTTGAGCCAAAGCCATTTGCATAAGTTGACTAACATCAAGAAATTGTTGGCCATCTAGTCTTTCTCTAAGAGGAGCAATTAAACCATTAAAAGCAAGACCAGCCAAATCTCTATCAGTTATATTCAAGCTATAACATCGGTTTCTAACATCCCTAAATCTCTTAATATAATCAATGACAGGCTCATTATACTTTTGCTTAACCGATGTTAAATCACATAACCTAAGCTCAGTTTCTCCAGTATAGAAATAATCATGAAATTTTTCTTCTAATTGAGCCCAAGTATGAATAGAATTTGCCGGTAAAGAAGTAAACCATGTAAAAGCATTACCGGACAAAGATAAAGAAAACAAGCGCAATTTAAAAGTATCACTATTAGCCTCACCACATTGCGCCAAAAATTGACCTACATGCTCCCATGTGGTCTTACCATCCTCACCACTAAACTTGGTAAATTCGGAAACTCTATAATTACGGGGAAACGGCACATTATCATAATAATCAGGATACGGCTTTTTGTAAATCCTAGCACGATTCCTAGTTTCAATCCCGAATCTATTCCTAATAATCTCACTAATTATATCCTCCATATTATTAGGCCCATGTTGATTTGGCGGTGGATTTGGTGGCCTAATAGGTTGTGTTTGTGGCGCAATATGATTATGTTGGCCTTGTCTAGGATCGGGAGGATACCCCCTAGCAACATCATTATAAGCATTAGGAACATGTGGGGGAACTTGGGGACTACTTGTAGCAGTAGATATAGGCGGATCAAATGTTCTAAGATGATACAAATAACTAGCATTAGTCATTGGATCTATTCCCTGTATCGGAATAATTGTGCCGGTCTGACCGGCCCAGGGCCTGGTCTGACCGGCATCCAGAGGCGCGGTCGGACCGGCCTGAGTACCGGTCTGACCGCCGGGGTAATACCCGGTCGGACCGGCCGTTTGGCCGGTCGGACCGACGGCTAAGTCGCGGTATGACCGGCCGTCAGGCCCGGTCAGACCGGCCGTGTGTGCCGCTCCATCGGTTTTTCTACCCGTTTGATCTATAGGAGGTTGGTTAGCAGTGGTAAAGGCTTTATCCTTTGACATGTAATCGGCCATAAGAGGGCCGAATTTAACCCTTAAAAACTCATCAAACTTACCCTCAAAAGTTGCATCTAACTTATCTTTAAAAGAAATCATAGATGAATCTATTGTAGATGCTACTTGTTGTTGGATAGATTGTGTTACCTCATCATTACTTACCAAATCGGGGGCGAGCTTAGGACGTGGCCCGGGCTTGATGATCACGCCTTGACGAGTCCTAGTGCTTGCCCTCATCAACGCCTCCCGTGTGAGTTCGTTGATGTACTCCTCCATAGCTTTGTGGTCCTCTCCTTCGAAATCCTCCAATGTGACCAGTATCACATTGGATGGCTCTACCTCCGTCTTGGATGGCGGCTTCGTCATGGCGAAGTCGAAGTTGAGTTGACGATGAACGGATCTCCTCCCTAGCGGAGTCGCCAAAAATCGTGTTGGCAACTTTTTTTAACAAGTTGACAAGCATGATCGCAGCACCTTAAGCCTTGCGATGATCCTAGAGTCGCCAACCACCTCGATCTAGCAAAGAGCTAAACCTAGATGGGTTTTGATAACTAAACCAGCTAGCGGAGCTGATTTCTAGATAACTACCCGTCTCGTGGGCAAAACGAAAGGTTTTCAGGACAAACCTACAAAGAGATGTCACACTCTCGCAGCGGCGCCGGACGGTTTACGGCGCAAACCGACAAAGATGGACAAACTAAGAGAAAACTAAAAGCAATATGAAAAAATGATTCGATTGATTGATTGTAGATTGGTTTTTTACAATGAACCAGCCATGTCCCTTTTATAGGGGTTGGTCTTGCCCTCTACAGGCCCTCCTCCACGTCCAACTCAGGGTAGAAACCAAAGGAAACCCGAAACATGCCTTCCCGAGCAAGGAAACCTCGAGACCTGACGAAACACAGTCGGACTCGGACCTGCCGGTCAGACCGGCGGTGTGTGGCCGGTCTGACCGGCCCTCAACCGGCTGTCTGACCGGCCAACACACGGCGGTCAGACTGGCCCACTCGGAGGAAACCGGTAGATTTCTAAATTTTGGCAATCTTTCCTATTTTTATCCCAGGTGCCAAATTTGGGTGTAAACAAATATATTCCTAAAAAATTAAGAAAGTTTAAAAAAGGAATAAAAAAAGGCCACTTTGTACCCCGCCGGCCTGCTAGGGCATTTGCGCATGCAGCCCATGTAAACCACAGGACCCAATGGTGCTGCGGCCCAAGAATGGAGGCCCACCCGACGGGGGATCGATCCGAGTCGTTCATTTTGATGGACGGCACGGATTGATGCTGAATCCATCAAAACAATCGATGACAAGAACCCTAACCCTAATTCACATTTTCCCCTCCCCTCCGCCTTCCCCACTACCCC